GCATACTTAAACAACATTAGGGTGCCAGAAGTACGATTTGAGAGTTTGTGGACCTAAGTGGCACCCCAAGACAAGTTTAAGGACCTACGATGCATTTAACTCGTAATACTATATATAAAAGATTTATTTTTAAGAAAATCTTACGGTAGGCATGCTTCTAGTTAAAAGAGATTTTACGTGGACTCTCGGACCTCCTAGTGTACGTGGCTTCTATGACATCGTTCTCTCACCTCCCCTGCCTTCCCGTGGCTTTCTGCTGCGCAACCACGCCCTATAGGTCTCGCCTGTCAAACTATGCCATGCCATCATGCCATGCCATCGTGCCCTCACCCAGCGACGAAGGCAACGGTGGGGCTGGGGGGGGCTCCAGCCCCCCTACCGATCCCAGACAAGTGGAGCCCCCCTAAGTTTTTTTTAAAATTTTATACATATATATAATAGGTAGGAGGGGCTAAGAGATTAAGAGAAGATAAAAAAACCTCTATTCCTTGTTGGGCTGAAAGAGAAAATAGCTCAGTTGGTTAGAAGTTAGAAGCCCAACCGAATCGGCGACTCCCGAGACACAGGCGGCGGCACCTGCTTTCTGCGGATCCTCGGCGGCTCCAAAGACGCCGCCGCGCCTGAGCCAAAGAAGCAGCAATGGCAAGAAGACATCGTCTGGCGGCCGTCGCATCCGCGATCGAACATCGGCGTCGGCTCCAGCGCCCGAGATCTCGAGCGCACTGGAGGAGCTTGAGGCGCGCGCGCCGCCCCCTCCACGCCGACAACCGCGACCTCGCCAAGCGCTCTCCACGCGTCTGCCCCAGCCTTGCAGGCCACCGCTCCGCCAACGCCCGCCGCTGCGCGCAAGCGAGGCCAGCGCCCTCGCCCGCCGCCTCGCCGCCGCTAGCCGCGCCCTCCGCAGCTATGCGAGATGTATGCCGCGTCCGTGTCCGCTGGCTCGAGATCGGAGCTGCGTGCCGCGCGGCTTCTTCGAGTATAGCGCTTCGCCTCGATGATCAGCGTAGCCGGCCGGCCGGCCGGGCATCAAACGTCTGAAAGCAGAGAGCAACGGAAAGCGGTCATCTACTACTACTACCTACTATTGTCAATCTTACAAAGATCGACAGCCCGAGTAATCTTGACTAGTGACTCTCGAGGACGATGTGATTGCAGACTTGCGGTGTTTTTCTTTTTGACTCGGTAGGAGCAAATAGAAGCGGCGTCGGAGCCGAAGCAGCCCGTGTGATTTTTTAATTATGAAATTAAGTCATGGATCGTGATTGAAAAATGGTTTGATTCTTGATGGATTTTAATTTTAAATTTTCAAGTATGTCGTCGAAAAGAACTCTGCGCAATTACTTTTCAAGTTCTAGTGGTAGTGGTCCATCAACTAATGAGAGCACAACTCAACCAAAGAAACCTAGAGCAGAGTTTAGTCAATCGAACATGATTGCAGACCCTGAAAATCGCAAACCAATTGATGATTATGAACCTGAAATTAGAGACCAAGTAAAGAGAGCATATGCTTTGAGTGGTCCAACCCAACCTCGTGAATTTCAATTTCCTAGTAAATGGATTGGTGGTCAATGGAGATCATTTCAAAAGACTTGGTTTGATGAATTTGATTGGCTAGAATATAGTGAGTCCAAGGATGCGAGTTTTTTGCTTATATTGTTATCTCTTCTTTAATTCGGAAAGCTTTGAAAATTTGGGAGTTCTCTTTTTGCACATCAAGGTTATGTGAATTGGAAAAAAGCTAAGGATGCTTTTAGTAAGCACAGTGCTTGCAAGACTCATGTAGATGCTAGGCTGAAGTGTGATGACTTTATGAACCAAAGGACAAGTGTGGGTCGAAAATTAGTTGAGGTAATCACGGAGGAAGAAAAACGATATGAGATTCGTTTGACATCTTCTTTAGATGTTGCAAGATTTCTCATATCACAAGGGCAACCTTTTCGTGGAGATGATGAGAGTTCTACTTCCCTCAATAAGGGTACATTCAGAGAGATGGTTGATTGGTATAAAGATAAGGTTGAGATTGTGAAGGACGCATATGACAAAGGTTCTAAAAATTGCCAAATGTTATCTCCTGATATACAAAAGGACCTTGCAAAAGCTTGTGCAGAGGAAGTCACAGCTGTCATTATGGATTTATTGATGAGTCTCGAGATGTATCAATAAAAGAGCAAATGGCAGTGATTCTAAGGTTAGTACTTTACAATTGCAATTTTGTGCATAGATTTTTTATAATTATTTCTACAATTATACTAACACATAAACAAATGTGGCGTGTAGGTTTGTCAATGATGAAGGGAAAGTGATGGAGAGATTTCTTGGACTTCAGCATGTTTAGAGTTGTACAGCTATTGCATTGAAAGAAGCTTTGGTTAGTATGCTTTCAAGTCACAATTTGTCTATCTCTATGCTCCGTGGGCAAGGGTATGATGGAGCTTCTAATATGAGAGGTGAATTTAATGGGGTGCAAAAATTGATTCGTGATGAAAATCCTTATGCTTTCTATGTGCATTGTTTTGCCCATCAATTGCAGCTAGTGGTTGTTACCGTTTCGACTTCTAGTGCAGACATTGCAGATTTCTTTAACTATATTCCTTTAATAATCAACAATGTGGGTGCAAGTTGCATGAGAAAAGATGCCTTGCTTACAAAGCATCATGATGTGTTGCTAGAAAAGATTGAGAATGGTGAGATTATGACTGGAAGAGGTTTAAATCAAGAAAGCAACCTAGCTAGGCCTGGAGATACTAGATGGGGTTCACATCTTAAAACTTTGCTTCGCATTTTGGTCATGTGGGAGGCTATCATAGATGTCCTTGAGATAGTGAAGAAAGATTCTATTAAACCAACATGTAATGGTGGAGCTTTAGGTTTAATTGGAAAAATGGAGAGCTTTGATTTTGTGTTCATCCTGCATTTGATGATAGAATTGTTGAGCATGACAGATATTTTGTCACATGCTTTGCAAAGGAAGGATCAAGACATAGTTGAAGCAATGCATTTGATCACGGATGTGAAAGATAGCTTGCAGGATATGAGGGAAAATGGATGGGAGCCATTACTCAAAAAAGTGAAAACATTCTGTGAGAAGAATGAGATTGAAGTGCCAGATATGGGTAAGGAAATAAATGTTAGAGGGACATCTAGACGAAGAAAGCAAAAGGTAACAAACATGCATTACTATCATGTTGAGATTTTTCTTGTCGCCATTGATGCCATCTTGACGGAGTTGAATCATCGGTTTAGTGAAATTAGTTCAGAGTTATTAGTATGTATGGCTGCTTTTAACCCAAGGAACTCCTTCTCTAATTTTGATATGGACAAACTTGTGAGGCTTGCTGAAATTTATGCTGAGGATTTTGACATTGGTGAACTTATTGTTTTGCCAAATCAACTTAGACAGTTTGTGAACCGTGCTAGAAGAACTCCAGAATTTCTTGGATGCACTGAACTTGGAAAAGTTGCTGAAATTATGGTGATGACTAAAATGCACGAATCTTATAAATTGGTTTATCATCTCATTGAGCTAACCTTGATACTACCAGTGGCAACGGCTTCAGTTGAAAGGATATTTTCAGCCATGTCTATTATAAAGACAGATTTGCGTAGTAAAATGGGTGATGACTGGCTCAATGACTTGATGATATGCTATAATGAGAAGGAGAAATTTAGAAAGATTGATAATGAAAAGATCAAAAAGCGGTTTCAAGATATGAAAAAGCGTCGTATGTTATTGCCTAAAAAATTAGTGGTATGCTCTATTCTCTTCTAAATTCATAATTTGGCGGTCCAAATATGTTTGACTAATCAATTATGTCTATTTGTGTAGATTGCTACTTCGGATGAATAATGTGTGTCAACGTCAAGCACTCAAGCGCCGTCTATTAGTTTCGTAATTTGGCCTTTCGGTATGAATGAACAGGTTCCTTTATTTTTCATGATGTATTTTATGAATTTTATCGTTAACCAATGTTTTTAAGTCGGTGTAGCACTTTTGTTCAGTCGGGTCTAAATTTTTTCCTAGCTTCGTCCCTGTTCAGCCCCTCCTAAAATTTTTTCTGGCTTCGTCCCTGCCCTCACCTCCCTTCCCTTCCCATGGTCACTGGCAGTTCACCGTGCAAGTACGCTCTAGCCGCCGTTAGCGTGCACCGCCGCCCCCGGCAGGTACAAGTACATGGGAGAGAGATGGTGTAAGAAAATGATCACACATCCAAGGATTGGGACGGGATGGTATGGTACAACATCTTATGGAAGATATTTCCTTTTTGAAATGAATTCATCCTGCAACTAAATAAAAGCTTGAGAAACTAGAATGGGGACGGATGATGCAGCACCTCAGGAAAAACATTTCTTTTTTTATGAATTCATTACGCAACTACATAAAAAAAAAGAATGAAATTGTTCCATCTCAAGAGATACCTCCAACCAAACACAACCTTGACGTTCGGCATCATTCTACAGATACGTATATTTGCCAGTCTTCAGATACTGTAGAATGTGTCAGCAAGTACGTTCGGTTAATGCTTAAAGTGGGTCCAGATATTCGGTCAATACATACAAAATACGTGTTTTCCTTTTCAAAACAAAATGATTTTTTTACTTCCCCGTGACTTTCCTGCTTCACCGTAATCACTGAATCAATGCAAAGCCTAGCGTGCTGTGCCATCAGCCAATGCAAAAACTGGTAATCAGACAACGTAATAAATTATCTTATATAAGCAAGAAGATACATAAAATACTCGGTACAAGACGACTTTACTGCAGCTATGCAGTTGCGAAATGTTGTCAAGAACCTGAACATGCCTTCAAGGTCACAACAGAGGATCCATGATGACTAGGAGCAATGGAATACACGGACTAAAACACAACCGAAGCAAACTGTTGAACATTACATTCTGAAATGTATTATATGCGTCCAACTATCCAAGAATCCCAGGCCTGGCAGTGCACAAGTATTCTCTGAAGGCGTCTGCTTTGTTAGATTTGCCGGCATCTAACATCAACTACAAGGTGGCGAATATGCGGTCCGTACCATTTGACACGTTCAACATGCTCCACTGACACGTTCCAAGATAGTCCTGCGACACAAAATGGCATAAGAATGGAATTTTAACTCTTGAGGGCAAAACTGCATCACAACAGATCAAAGCATAAATGCACCATTTTTACCATGGTTTTTGGCGATATTACTGATGGATTCAACAACATTGTCCAACCAGCGTGTCTCATCAGAGTCATTGACATTCCTGTGTATATGCAATACACCCCCGCCAACCCTACACATAGTAATAGAGTAAAATATTAGCATCAGAGGTTTGTTGTGGATCCAGCAAATTGACCAAATTCAAACATGGCATTCAAACATTATAGAGAACTTGTTTCCAAGTGAGACCACACATTCCATCAGGCAGCCCAACGTGTTACATGCCCTACACACTGAAAGCACCACCATGCAGGCATTTTCAGTGTCAGACAACGAAATTTGGCAGCATGTAAATGGAAGGATTGGGACGGCGGTCTCCAGCAACTCCAGTTTGGCCATATCAGGTGAGACGATACTTCAGCATGAGTCGGAGGATGATAGCAATAAAATGATCTTTCCACATGAAATGAACTTCAGTCAGGGAATATTTAGCATCCCAGATTTTGGCAGGCGCGCCTCGAATACGCTCTGCTAAATGTAAACTCAATTGCACTTTGTTGGTTCTAAAAAAGACTTGGCAGGATGTCTTTTGGGATATGTGACTAGCACTACTAAGATCAATATGTTGATAAGCAGAGATTTAAAAGAACATTTAGAATATTCTCTTATTCTGAAACAACATTTTGCTGCTGTCGTGTACACCTTTGCGATTAAGGTTGTAGGGATATGAAACCCTGGATGTGGTTAGTGATTAGAGAAGGGAAGCAGGGGTAGAAGAGAGAAATTAGAAGGGTTGAGAATAACAATTATAATGCTTAACCGTAGCAGGGGAAGAGAGAAATTAGAAGGGTTGAGAATAACAATTGTAATGCTTAACCGTGACAGGGTATAATGCAATTATATATGAGTGTGTATGTGTGTGGAATCTGACCTAGCCCATTATTATGAACTAACCAACTCTAAAAGATTTGCACACGACTTTCAAAAGATAGGCACATTCCCAACTGACTCCCTAACAAAACCAAACTCCTTAGTAAAACCAACTCAAACAATACTAAGAAATCATCTTAATCACTGAAGCATGCAGCTACTTGTGCAACAAAAGAGGTCCAACTAGAGAAGGCCAAGACAAAGCTTACCTAAGTAGTTAGACCTCTCTATATAAAATCTTCTTTGAACACTACAAGAAACCTAGAATGAAATAAGCATAACTGAAACAACTCAGGCGGTGATGCAGACAGATCACCTTAAAGTTTCAACAGCAGTGGCCCAGCTACATTCACTTGAGGGTAACAATCCAAGACAGACTCGATCAGCAACACCCTAATTCAAGTCCAGTAAGAAATAAAGATCAGCAGCCATCGTAATTCATGTGTTAGACAAAAAGATGATATTTGTCCAGTACGTACTTTGGGTGCAGTCACCCGGTTATCTCCTTCAAGTATAATACATCGATCCTCCACACTGTTGTCACTAACATTGCGCCGAAGAGCCTCCAGAGCATGTGGATTCCATTCACATGCATAAACTAGCTTGGCATTAGCCCTGCAATAGTACGAGATTAAGAACACCTTTTTTTTGGTGGTGGTGGGGTGTGTGTGTGTGTGTGTGTGTGTGTGGGGGGGGGGGGGGGGGGGGGGGGGGGGGGGGTGGGGGATAATATCAGAATCTCTGTGTTTGAATCAAGGGCTATCAGAGAATGTACTTCACAAGAAACGGAAGAACAAAGTATCCAATTCCAGCAAACAAATCCACGACGACCTCATCTCTGCAGTTTAGCTGTCCCATGCGAAGTTTCTCTGAATGATTACCAGAAGAAAACATGCATTTTGTTGCATCAAGTGAATAGCAGATGCCATTTTCATAATTGGTAACCCATCCATTATCACCCAGAAGAAGTTCCAGTGTACTATCTCTTGTACCATTTGGCATGATTTTACCCTGCGAAAAAAGGACAAATTGAATGAATCATATTGAAAAGGGCATCCCCAACAGAAATAAATGCTTGGTAGGGTAACCAAATGCATGCCACAAGTCACAAATTATAAGAATAAAAATACTTAACATGGAAATTCAATTGAGGACGGGAGACCACATGAACATACAAGGTATTGACTTCAAGAGTAATAGCAGCCCAAATAGATGTTCTAGGTTCACTAATAAGAGTTCATCCAGTACTTACTTGGCGTGCAAGACGTTGTGAACCAAGTGACTTGGCAACTAGTGGCCAAAGTTCCTCGCTAACTGATTCCCACAATGGATTCTTAAAACATGTCTTCGGAAGTATGACGATATCACCAAGTGTCTCCCACCTACACATCAGAATGACATTTAAGCAAGCAAGAGCAGCTATAGTTGTAATCAATGATTTCAAGTCGTCCGATTAATCACGATTAATCGCGATTAATCATCCTAATCGGTCCTGGGTGCTCGATTAGGGACCTCGACCCGATTAGCTCGATTAGGGGCCTGGTCGTCCGACTAATCGTCGCCTAATTGCGATTAGTCGTCCGATTAGGGGTGGGACGACTAGTTTTGGCTGTTTTTTTTTGCTACCGCGCGCGGGCCACTGGGCGAGCGCGCCAGAGCGCGCGCGCGGGTCACGGGCGCGCGCGAGCGTGGGAGGGATAAGGGGTTTTGGCTGGTAGCGACAAAAATTTCACGGGAAATTAACAGCCGCCGCCGGCCCTGTGCTCGCGACTCGCGAGTCGCGCCCGCCCTCTGCTCCGCCGGTGGCCGGCGCCCCTGCAGCCTGCTCCTGCCGGCGGCCCTCTGCTCCGGCGGTCCCGCCCGCCCTCTGCTCCCGCGGTGGCCAGCCGCCCAGCCCTCTGCATCCTGCTCCCGCCGGCGGCCATCTGCGCCAGTCCGCTCGCCCTCTGCTCCGCGGTGGCTGGCCATCTGCGGCTCTGCGCCCGCCCGCCCTCTGTTCCTGCAGGTGCCTGGTCGCTCAGCCCTCTGCTCAGGTGTCTGCTCCCGCCGCCTGCCATCTCCTCCCGCCGCCCTCTGCTCCAGCAGGTGGCCGGCCCTCTGCTGATCTATTCCCGCCGCAGCTGCCTCCCTGCCGTTCAGGTCCTTCCCTCATCCCCTGCTCCTCTGCCCTCTCATCTCTACTCCTCTGATTTGGATGCTTCATGTTCTCTCAGGGGTCAGGGGCTCAGAGTTAGAGCTGCATTCCTCTGATTTGAAGGCCTGAAGGTGCCGGCCCTCTGCTCGTTGGTGATGAGCTGCTCTGACGACTGTATGTCCATTTTCCCTCCCCATCTGCTCTCCTGACCTACATGGCTGCATCCTCTCTGGCTCTGCTAGTAATGCTGCTAACTATCAGCCTTGTGCTTGTACAGCTGTGGAGCGACGACGTGCAAACGTGGAAGTGATAATGCCGATGCCTGACCTTGACGGAGGTGTTCTACATTCATCATCTGGGTCAGGTGCAGCTGCCACGGCTTCCTCAGCTAGTCCAGATGTTGCAACACTAGTTGAGAGGGCTATTGCAAAGCTACCTCCAGAGCTTGCTGCCCAAGCTGTTGACACCAAGAGGAAGGCAAAATCACAAGATCCAGGATGGAAGTATGGGTGGTGGCCAGATGCTTCGAAGAAGGATTTTGTGCAGTGCATATTTTGCAAAAAGATTGTCCCCTCTGGAATAAAAAGATTCAAGCAGCACCTTGCCGGGGGGTATGGAGATGCAGTTGGATGTCCTAGTGCTCGAGAAGTAGTTAAGAAGGAGATGGCTGATTACCTGAAAAAGAACTCAAGAACTATTCTAGCTTTGAATCCTACATTAGGTGAAGATGAAGAGCAACAAGATGATGCTACTGCTGCAGAAGAACCAGCAGCTGTACCAGAACCAAGCTCTGGAACAAAAGTCAAGCAAAAGAAGAGGATTGCTCAGGCTGCCATCTCTTCTTTCACTGTCACTGCTGCACCAAAACCAGCCACTCAAAAAATGTCCAGATCAGTGAGCTCAATGCTTTGCAAGTCACCGGAAGAAGTAGTTGAAGAGAGGCACAGATCCAAGCATAGTCAACCTACACTTGAGCATTGCACAAAGAAAAGTAAGGAGGCCAAAGTAGTTGTTGATGATCATGTTGCAGATTTCTTCTATGAGAATCGCATTCCATTGAAAGTGCTGCTATTGATATGTGTCAATAACTCAAGATCAAGACTACATTAGTGTTGCTAATTATGGTGTTCTTTGGTATTGCAGGCTTCCAGCAACAAGTCAGCAAAGGAATGGAGTTTGGGACAGTTGGACAGTGAAGAAAAGGCAAGAAAACAACTCCCACAAGTAAGTCACTTGCTAAACACTAATGTAGTCTTGATGCTTGCTATATTGTGTACACTATATAGTACATATAGGTATATATATAGTATGTATATGTCCTGATGCATAGGACGATTATATGGACGACCAGGGTCGACTAGGCTCGACTAATCGGCCTGGTCGACGACTAATCACGATTAGTCCCCTGGTCGGTCCTATAGCGACTAGGTTCGACTAGACGACCTGAAAACATTGGTTGTAATAACAATAGATATTTTCATCAGAGAAACAAACCTAGCTGGAAGCTGCTCCAACAACTGAGGGGGCATCCCTTTACTTTCCAGTAGAGAAGATACAAGTTCTTTCATGATGGTTTGAGGAGACTTGGAAAGCTTTCGGCTGATGGCCAGTTCATCTTTCATAAAGGAACCATTGCAAGATGACAAAATTTTTAATGCATCCTGAAGAGATAGGTTCTCTCCTACAAGTTTCTTTTCAGTAAACACTAATGATTCCCCAAAGGTACATGAATCATCACGTGTCATCTTGATATGCTCTTCAGCATTTAGGATAGGGAAAGCTTCATTAATAGGAAAAAGAACATGGCCATTATCATGGCTCACTCGAACTTTTCTAGAAAGATCCAACCATGCAAACTTTTTCAGAATGTCCTTTGCTAATTTGGCATATGTCTTTTCCACTTGAAGAACCAGAGGGCTTGAATCTGTCAAACCACCAGAACAAGCATCTTCTGATTTTGTATCATGATCAAAGATGCCATTTTGCTCATCTTTTGGCAAGTCAACAGCAGATATTGCATCATGACTTTGAACTGTGTCATCTTTGTTCCTATCATATTTAAACATAGACTCCACTGAATGCAGATCAAGAACTATTGGTTGACTGAATTTGGTTCCAAATGCATAACAAGATGCACCACCACCTAAAATAACAAGATCATCTTTAATTACAACCGATGAACTACGGACACAGAGGGACTGGCTCAGCAATGGAACGGAAACACAAAACCAGACTCGATGCTTTAAGTTCAGCAATGTAACTTCTTGGTTGTTTTCGGTAATAGGGCAGCCACCAAGTATCCCAAGATAATTTTTGTAGATGAACATGCAGTGTGAAAACCTAGGTGACAGAGATCCCCCATTTGAGTTTTCCTTGTTCCACTTAAGTGTTGTTGTATCAAAACTGTAGAAGTCCTTCAGTGCCCGTTGGCCATCATGACCTCCGAACATGAATAGATTAGTACCATATGACACCATAGAATGTGAATGTCGAGCACATGGCCATTCGCCTGAAGCAGCAAGTACACTCCATTGCATATTTTTTGTGTCCAATACATTCATACAAGAATATATTCCTTCATTACTGAGTCCGCCAAATACATAAATTTTTGAAGCTACTGCAGCAGATGCATGTCGGTGCCTGCATAAAGAGAGACAGAACGTCCATAAGAAAATCGAGAACAGGCAAAGGGGGGTAATAATTTCATCTAAACAGTACCTTGGTTGGAACAGATCTCCACAGCACTCCACTTTTGACCACGTATTCCCAGTGCTTAGCAAAACCCAGACATCATCAAGAATTTTTGAAGGGCCACCTCTACCTCCAATTAGATAAGTGCTATTACCAACTGCAGTAACTGTATGCCCCATCCGTGGTGAAGGAGATGCTTTGAAGATCGTTTCTGTCAACAAACCAGATTTGTGATTGAGCAGAAGGGAATAGTTTCTCCTTGCATGTCTTCCTGGTCCTCCAAAACCACCAAAAGTTAGGACCTGCTGCTCTTCTCCAACAGTAAACACACAAGAGGCTTGGCCCCATAAGAAGAGCTTCTCAATTGGTTCACCACTAATCTCCAATGTTGTGGTAGGGAGATGATTTTTGTTTTCTGACAACTTCTCCTGCGTTAATAATCTACATACAATACAACAGAAAAGATGAAAAGGGTTCAATCAAAGGCTCCGAGCTACTGGATTGTCACTTTGTGAGTAAGAAGACTAAAAGTACAATTATCAGAATTATTATGGAATAACAGAGTGGTCACCTAAATAGGTGCAGGACCATCACTTCAAAAATCATGGCTTAATAACACAAAAAGATCACCTATCTGCTACAAGAAAAAAGAAAATTATTTTTAATCAAAACCAGATGGAATTTAGTTTCTCACTGTGTCCAGATAATGTTCAACAAAAAGTTTCTTAAAACCAGTGTTCGCTAAACGGACATGTAATCTGACTAATAGGCTGCGTAGTTCAACAAGGATAAACAAAGTTGACAACCTTTTAAGCATTTACGGAAACACTGCTTATAAAATTTACATATATAAACAACATGGACAATTAACAACTAAGTCAATGGGTCCAACATGCCAAACAACCATGTACTGTGATGTACCTCTTTGAAACAACCAAATGATATCAAATATCCATTTCAGGCCCCATCAAACCAATAAATTTACATGCTAGTCTAAGAAAAATGAAAAGTAGGAACAAGATGAGACAAAAGAGATAAGAGAACATGCCGTTTAGCATTACCAAAACCATGCTTGACACCCTCGCTCCATGCAGAGTCTTGATTTCCAAAATACCGTGCTTCTATTGAACCTGTATCATCATCACAACTACGTCCACTGTTTCTCCTTTTTGTAACTAAGTACTCATCATTTGTTTTGGCACATTTATCTAATGGTATCTTAACTTCAGGACCCACGGAAGCCTTATAATCAACAGACTGACCACCACTTCCATTACAGTTGTTTGACAACCCCGATGAGTATGACAAACCCTGGCAATTTGATTGGAACCAACATGTTAAAAGAAAAAAAAGAGAGAGAAAATAGTAATAATAAAGGTCATTCCGGCACTAAATCAACTAAGTTGTTGTAGAATGTACATACATATTTGTAAATGAATTGGTGGTCAAAGTAATTTTTTTTTAGAACACACAAATGTTCAGGATATATACTATGGATAAATGAAGATAAACTTACACCCTTTGATCTTTTTAAAATGACGCTGGCTAGTTCCGTTTTGAACTACCAGCGTCAATTTAAAAAGATCGGAGGTAGTATCTGACAAGTGGTAGTAAATCAAGAAGTAACTATTGCCATCTGCTTGAAAAATCTTGCTCAACTCATTAAGTAGTTTTACAAACAGAAACGTCCTATAGATTATTATCTCTTAAAAGAAATACTTAGTTTACTCTCCACCCCAGCTTAATGAACATTCAAAGGAAACATTTTTGGACTTATCCAAAGTTTCCAAACATGTATGTCATGCACACTAATAAAAAAGTTGGAATACAGTAAGACAAACATAGCTCAATACCTTAGTCTGCAAGAGATCCAGAAATCCATCCATTCGCCTTTTATTTGCCTCCATTTTACTGTTGGCAATTCTAACAAGGTATCGGACATACTCCGGAGAAACAACAAGTTCGTTAATCTGCCCCAGTGGCACTTCCATGCGAATTGAGCATCTTATTGCTACCATTGCACGTTTCTGCAAGCTTGTGATACCTGAAAACCAGATTAATCGATTTTTAAACAAACTTAATCTGATATTCCTATAAATAAGGAAACTCAGCAATACACGTTACAATCCAATGAATCCATCTCTCATCGTACAAACCTTCACTTGAGAGTCAATTTATCATTTCAGCCAAAAGCATGAACAAAAAAATCATACTTCTCTAAAACTATATATGCAAAACTGACTATAATGAACCCTGCGCCTGTGATCAATGATAGATGGATTCACAAATCGTTCCACATCTCCTTGTATTGAAATACTGTACAATAACACTGATGGTAAGGATACACTGCTGAGTTGTTCATGGAAATCGAAGCCTTATCCAACATCTCAACATAACTCTAAACACAGGGTTGAAGGAGGCACGCTACACACAATCACACAACTCACCTGATTCCCGGAACCCCGCACCAATCGCGGCCGCGACGAGCGCCGCAGCTGCGGCGGCGTCCCTGCACTCCACCGCCACGATCATCGGCTCGAACCTGAACACCAGCTCGTCCCCCGCCCCTCCCGACCCGCTCCCGCCAAACAGCTGCTCCACCACGGCGTCCGGATCGGCAGGGTCGTGCGATACGTATACCCACCCGCCGCCCCGCGCCTTCTTCTTCGGCTTGGGGGCGCCATCGCCCTGGCCCTCATGCGGCGGCGGAGGCTGCGCGAGGACGGAGACGCGGCCGGAGCAGGAGGAGGTGGTGAAGAGGTCCGGGTGGGAGTTGAGGGCGTCGAGGAGCGGGGCGATGGGGGCGTCGACGCCGCCCTTCGGGGACTTGTCCGGCGTCGGCGAGCAGAGCGCAGCCAGCGCCGCCACCTTCCGGCGACCGAAATCCATGTGACCGGGAGGCTGGCTTTCGCGGGGAGATTTCTCGAGGTGCTAGGGTTTGGGTTGGGTTTTTGCCAGGTTTTGGTGCAGTGGAGAACCTTGGAGATTGGGCCTTTCATATGAGCCCATGCAAGCTCTGACCTCTTTGGGCCTGTCGGCCGTCCAGAGGCCGACACCAGCCACTGTTCACCGGGCCGATTCTCTCTCCCCTCCTTTTCCTCTCTCACTGACACGCGCGGCTCCGGCTCCGGCTCCCGCAGCCTCCTGTCGGCCTCCCAGCGGCCGACACCCTACTACAGTGGCCGGAACCAGAGACGGCCGGAGCCCTGCCAAAGAGGTCACCGCTGCAATAGTAAAAATAGCACCGCTACACTTTCTACGGTATTTTTGTTACCATATATACATAATGATTCAATTCAATAGCATTATATTGTGTCTAGAAATGGGCCCCGTTCGCTTTGCTGAAAAAACAAGCCGAAACAATATTCCGACTGATTTGTTGTGAGAGAAAAACACTATTCCGACTGAAAAAATAAGCCAAAAAGTATGGATTATAAGACAAGCGAACAGAGCCATAGAAAATTTTACAAACTTTAACCATAATTATTCATGACATAAAACTTGTATATTAATATATTTGTATTGAAAGTGCCTTTGAAATAATATTTGTCCTTAAGCAAATAGCAACATATAGTAAGAAAACTTAACGGTCAAAATATACTTTACAACATATATGACATGAAGTAGTATATGGGGTGATTTATTTCAAAACAGTGACACACGTGATAAAGAATCTACTACACTAAAAACATACTGGTAGTCAAATGCTTTGAGGACTGTACTATGACCTGTTTGGAACGCTAGTAACTCTTCGTAAAATTTACAAGAATGCTTTTCTCCCACAAGAATTATTGGGAGAAAAAATTCCCCAAATTCAGACGGGCCTTACCGTCCAGGACGTCCACTCTGGTGCAGGGTGCAGGCTGCAGGGTGCAGTGATCTAATTCTGCCAATACAATTACAGCACACAGTTGCCAATACAATACACAGTGACGCCTCACCATAAATGTAGGCGTGCAATCTAAAATTGCAAGAAAACAATTAATGCATGTCGCATCCACCGATAAAAAAAATGAGCTTAGAACTTTGCATATTGTTTCTCAAAATTCCTACAGACTACAGTACAATTGTATCCTCTGTCTATATCAATATGTTCATTCGAAGCTGTATGTTTCCCATATGGATGTGTTGTGATGTGTCCTAATTCTAACAGCTAACCGAATCTGGTGCTGCACTTTATGAATCTCCAAGAAGCTGAGTTCACCTATGTACAAACGAAGGTCCAAGTCAGTGAACGATGAAGCTGAGCTGGGTGCTGTAACATTGAGGAAGGAATAATGTCTGCAAACAGAGCATACCATCTATTTTTCTCAAAATTCTGAATGAAGATCAAACATCAGTTCTTAATGAATGCTATCTTCCACTGTTGTTCATGAAAATTTTCTAGTTAATCCTTCCATTCACAGGCATAAGACTCATTGCCTCTTTAGTTCTCTCCTGTTTCACCAGTGATTTCGCCATGTTCTTCCTGTACTCATCAGCATCACATGCAGCAGCTTAGGCCCTTACTACTACTCGTAAAGACAACTAATTCACTAGTTCAAGGCCTGACAATTTATTAACCAAAAGACTTCTTGTCCTGCAAGTCAGCAGATTAATGGTCAGCTTGAGTTCATTGCAACTCCAAAAAAATATAGCTAAAAGTATATCTTAGTAGAGTAACCCTTAATCTGGGGGAAAAGGACTAAATCCAAGCAAAGTAGATCGAGTTTATATATTTTTACAGAAAATAACACTGAAACAAGAGTAGCTCTGAAGAAGCGCTGGATCAAAGCGATGAAAGAGCCAAACCCCTCTAACTTCAACTTCATGTCAGTTGCAACATAAGAAGCATGAGTGGAAGTCAGATGCAGGATATGAGTGAGACAATAAATACGCACATCTAGCAATGCTAATTCATATTTATTCTGCAAGTATCAAACTAACAAATGGATAAATCATTAAACTTGATGTAGAAAAACACAGGAACAAGGACCAGACGTAATACTTGGAAAGAAAAGAAATGAGTTCACAATGCATATTATTGTCTTCCACCTTGCAAATCACACCAACACCACAATGTTCATTCTATCTACACGTCTGAACATATTCTGGATTGACCCGTTGAAGGCTGTAATTAAAGGATAATATCATCAACCATCAGAAAATGCCAGGGAACACACAACTATTATCTGTAACCAATTTAAATACTTAGAAGAAACTGTTTTTACCTCAACTGCCAGTTTTAACATGGTGAAAAGGGACAGCACTATCTCTGGACCTTGTATTCACCATTGCATGCAAACACAATCCTGAAGAAGCTAGCATGATATAACCAGCCAAAATCATGTTCCTAATGTATATGTTCCTTTACAACATCTTGATCCATTTCAGCTTTCGATTTCACGATACTGGCTTCCACGAGTTCATCACAAAGAGCAAGGGTTGACTCCAAATTGTCGTCATTAAAATTGAAATCAATATAAAAATTGTATACATCTGGTTCAGCTGTCAAACCTTCCTTCCTCATATCATCAAATAGTTTTCTTGCCTCAACAAATCTCTTCTTTTTATTCAGCAATCTTATAAGAGCACTGTATGAGGTTGCAGTAAGTCTGAAACCCTTCTCTATCATTTCGTAGTGGAAATATAGTGCCTCTTTCATATTCCTTGCCTTGCAGTGCCCCTTGACCAATATATTGTATGTATTCTCATTTGGCTCCACATTCCGAGAACACATCCCCTTATAGATCTCAGTGGTAGATTTCATGTTATTGCCAATGCAGTACTGCTTCATAAGAGAATTGTAAGTTGCAGCATTTGGATGGATGTTCTTCTCCAGCATCCACTCAAGCAGCTTCTTTCCTCCTTCTACCCTACCTGACATGCAAAAACCATTCATCAAAACATTGTAAGTCACTATAGTAGGCTTAATTCCTTTATCTAACATCTCTTGCAAGAGGTCGTGAGCCCTGTCAAGCTCCCCTGACTTGCAGAGTGAATCAATAAGAGTTGTATAGGTGTAAACATCCGGTTTAAGACCCGCTGCATCCATGTCTGCCATAGTCCTCATGGCCTGCTCCAGATAGCCTGCCTTGCATAGGCCATTGATCAGGGAGTTGTATGTGCAAACATTAAGCTCAAGCCCCTTGTTAGACATCTCATGCAATAGCTCATTAGCGGCCTGGACATCCCCTTGCTTGCATAGTCCATCTGACAAAGCTGTATATGTCACTACATTTGGAGTCACTCCTCTCTGAACCATTGCATTATGCACCTGAAAGGCCTCCGCCATCTTCCCTCTCTTGCAGTACCCATCAATAAGCACAGTGTATGTTACTTCATCAACATCCAACCGCCTGGCGAACATTTCCTGAAGCACTTTCTCTGCCTCTTTCAGTTCACCAGCCCGGCAAAGCCCATTGATCAGTGTTGTGTATGTCACCCCATCAGTTGCCAAACCTTTTCTCTGCATCTCATCAAACCACCTTCTTGCAGATACCAAATCCCCTTTATTACAAAAAACACTCAAGACAGTCGTATACACAGCCTCATCCAATACCACCTTATGCTGGAACATATCCTCCACAACTCTCAAAGCATCTGAAACCCGCCCTTTGTCACACAATAATGCAACAACACTAGTATACACAGTTGCATTTGGCTCCACCCCTCTTGCCACCATGTCATCCAACAGCTTCACCGCATTCTCCAGCTCACCAAGAGCACAGTATCCATGGATAAGAATCCCATACGTGACAACATCGGGCGGTGAAGCCATTTCATCGAACAGCTGGCGTGCATCCTTCACGCGGCCAGCACCACAGAGCGCCTTGAGTAGTATATTGTAGGAGCAAACGTTCTTGTCCGGGAGTTCTTGAAACAACTCGATGGCTTCATCAAGAGGGAGGCGGGAGAGCACGGCGTTGCAGGCCTCCGGGGACGGGGAGATGCCGTACTGGCGGAGGCGGCGCAGTAGGGGCGCGGAGGGGAGGCACAAGAGGAGGAGGTCGAAGGAGGCGGGGTCCGAGGAGAAAGCCTTGTAGGTGGAGATGTAGTGCTCGACGAAATGCCTATGAGGGGAGGGGAAGCGGACTGCGCGCACGAGGATGGCGCGTGCGGCGCCGGCGCCGCGTACTACGGCGAGGTGAGCAGCGACGGCGAAGCAGCGGAGCAGGTGCGGGTGCGGGTGCTGCTGAGGGCGGGAGGGGAAGAGGAGGAGGAGAGGGAGAAGGAGGCCGGCAAGGTGCGGGTGGGAGGCGAGGAGCGGGAGCCCGAGAAGGAGGTGGATTGGGCGGAGGAGGGGCAGGAAGGGGAGCGGAGGAAGGGAGGTGGGGTGAGGCGAGGCGAGCACCGCGGCGGCGAGGCGGCGCGCGAGGGCGTCGTCGTCCGGCGAGTCAGGTCGGGGAGGGTGGTAGTCCGGGAACGGACGGGGCGCGGCGGTGGAAGTGAGGGGCTCGGACTCAGCCGTAGGCGCACGACGGTGGCCGCGGCGGCGTGGGTTCGAAGACGAGGTGGTGGCGTGGCCGTGGCCGTGGCCGCGGCCGGCGGCGCCCACGTGACGAAGGGCTCGCTCAGAGGTCAAAGAGGTGGAGAGCTTCGCTGCTGCGGCGGCGGCGGCGCGGCGGAGTAGCATCCGGCGGTGGCGGGTCCGGGAGTGGTTCCGTTGCCCGCCCTGGCGCTGGCGGCGGCGGCGGCGGCGGCGGGAGATGGGCGCTGGGCGAGTAGCAGAAGGCGGACGAGGGCGCTCTGCCGTGCCCGTGGACAGGCGAGGAGGAGAATAAGCGAAATTTACAAGACAGCCATTACACCGTTGAATTGGGATCGTGCGGCTTATGGTACAACTCGAAGGAAGTGTTAACATGGTCTCGTTCGGAGAATTTATTGGGCGCAGGATTGAAAAATAATGTTCCGACGGATTGTTGTGAGAAAAAAAATACTATTCTGTCTGAACGTGAATAGTGTTTTTGTGAGTGATCTGGTCAGCCGAGTTCAGCCCAGCCAACCAGCCGAACGCTCCCATTATTATTTTTAGCACTTTACGTAAACTAATTTTAAATCTAACACTATTTTTTTTCAAAACTAATACTTTTAGTCGCGTCTATTGCCATGGCGTGATGAAACGCCTGTGCCGCGCCATGTATGGTGGCGCCGACGGAAGAAAATTGATGGCGGCGACGATCGGCGCCGCTCGCGTACCACCGATCTTGGCGGCAGCAGATCGACGCTACCACTTGCATGGCGGCGGCAGAATCAGATAAATATCGCGAAGCGAGCCAAGACCGCGCGACGCCACTTCCAAGACGCACACATCGTAGAAGCGCTTCGCCGCCTTCATGTCATTGCATGCGCCATACGCCAGCCATACCAAGACGCTGGACAAATAACCACCACCGCTTACTACCACTCTTGGTCAGGCAATAATACATGGCCATGTCAAGCGCCATTTAACGCCGTGGCGTCACGGCCGCCCGCTCAAGGTACATCCCTCTCGATTTCATGTTATTATGTTTGTTATTGATTTAGGATAGTTAGTGATTTAGGATAGTTAGGGTTTTATGATAGTTAGTGATTTATGATAGTTAGTGATTTATGATAGTTAGGGTTAGTGAATTTGTTTGTGATTTAGGTAGGTAGTTTTTAAGTTTGAGGTGGTGTGTTGTAGTATAGTTAAGCTTTGGTTAGGTAGTTAGGGTTTATGTTATTGTTAGTTATGATTTTAGGTTTAGGGATTGATTAGATATTTATTATTTAGTTTATAGTTAGGGATTTTGGGTATAGATACTAGTTTTCAAGTGTCGGTACTTAGTAGTGCGTGATACGTCGATTTGGATGACTTGATGAAGTTTCGTTAAATGCTTATTTTTCTAGTGAAGTTGTTTAATATGTCTGTTAATGTTACTTTGAATATATACATATGCTTTTATATTGTGTTCGTATTTCATAACAAGTAGTTCAAATTTTGCAATGCTACGTAATGTTAATTTAAATATTGTTAATTTGAATACGTTAACCCTTTGTTTATCAATTTGTAACAGGATGATCCCTCCCACACAGCACCCGTTGTATCCCATTATTGAGGTGGAGTACAACGACCAGCACCGAGCATATATCTTGAGTGACACCGACGCAGAGGAGGCCTTGCCTCCTTTGAGGCTCCGCACGCACACCCGGGCGCACCAGTGGAACGAGCGTTACGCGCCGTATATATGTCGTGCCGGCTTCCTCGAGCTTGTTCGTGTTGTCAACTACGGTCTTTCGTTCCTTGACCCAACACTACTTACTGCAGCTGTAGACAGGTACGAGTGCCTTCTTTGTACGTAAACATTTTTATAACAAATTTGAGTCAACTAACAGTCGTTCTATTCTTATAATAGGTGGAGGCCTAAGAGCCATACGTTCCACCTACCTTACGGCGAGATGACCTTGACCATGCAGGACGTGAAGGCTATCTTTGGCCTTCGGTTGGGAGGACTTCCAGTGACGGGTATAGTTGACAACGATCATTGGAGGGAGCTGGTGACTCAGTTCACTGGCTTTCTTCCACTGGACGATGAGGTTTCAAAGAAAAATAAGTGAGCAATTCAAGCCTATTTAATACTTGCATTGCTTTTCTGCAGTCATCGGATCTCGTTTTCTTTGGTGAATTTTAGGAAAAGTTCCGATGTTTCGTCGTCCTAGATCACAGAGTGCTTTGATTACTTGGACCCATAGGCTGAGGAGGCTCAGATCGACAGGTTCGTTAGAGTGTGGCTCTGGCACTTCCTTGGTGCTTTCCTCTTCCCAGATGCCTCGGGCAACACCATCAGCTGGATCTTTCTTGACATACTACGTCAGCCGTGGGAGAACATGGATGTATCGATAGCTATGCGTTGCCTATCGTCGCACCTCAGGGTATGCGAACCTTGGGGGTTGCTCCTACCTACTCTAGGTTTGGTGTTGGGAACGATGGCCCGTTGGGAGGCCCCTTAATACTGATTTACCGGTAAGTACTTCGGTTCACTATATTCTTCGAGGCAGTTACATATAATGAGATTATTAATGGCTAATTCATTATCGTGTTTAATGCAGCAATGGAACAGGCATGATACACTCCCTACAGCTCTGTATATCTGGACGGAAGCAGAGTTAGTTAGAGGGAATGTGAGGCGCAAGTACAGGGAGTACACGGTCGGTCTTGACGTCCTGACACAGCACCAGGTTACGCTATCTTTACTATCATACATGTGTCTTGTTCGATGTACACTATATCACAACATAACTCAATTATGAAATGTTCAGGTGCACTAGTGTCCTTGGGATGCTCCGGAGCTCCAGTACTATCTCAGTCCTGTCACTAGGGATGAGTCAGACGAGTATCGCTGTAACATCCCTCTTATTTTCTTCCACGTCGTCGAGATTCACTTGCCCATCAAGGTCTACAGATAGTTTGGAAGAATGACAGGCTGCCCACCACCGCTTTACTCCACCAACCAAGAATTGCATGAGTGCGTTATCTATTAATAACAAAGCTACAATTCAGAGGTGTGTGTGGTACAACTAACATCATTTTGTTGTAGGTATGACCGCAGGAAGAGGTACAAGACCAAGGATTGGCGCGTAACACACAACTCGCACATCCACTTGTGGCAGAACAGGGAACGGTAGCCGGTCCATGCGGGTCCTCCACACGACCAGCACACCTTCGACAAGTATCTGCGGTGGCTTCATAGGTCTACGAGGACACAAATCAAGCCTCCGTACATTGAGGAGACGATTGATGAGGACTTGGAGGAAGATGTGATCGAAGATGTGTACGACGTTGCCACTAGGGAGGACACACAACTACAGAGAGCCCCGCTTCAAAGATATGTGGTAAGATACCTGAATGGTACAATGTGTTATTCATTTGGTATTAAGTATGTGTACTAAAATTGTCCAACCGTGTTTCTGTACCCAAACGACACAATTGTCAAGGATGTCCAACAAAGCAGCGTTCCGGCTTCATGAGTCTAGAGGGCAGGGGCCAGGGGTTCTCGAGGCTTTTGTGGAGGTAAACATAAACTTGTCCGTTCCAAAAATGTTTCTTTAGTGTATATGTGTTTGGGGAATACACTAACTTTAACATCTATTTATGCAGAAGGTGAAGCTGAGCTGCAGGAAGCTAGCTCAGAAGCTGAGCTGCATGGACACTCCTTGGGTGGAACCGCCACTCCCGGCGCGGTCGGGTCTTCAGCCTCTTTGAGGACACCAGCCGACTCTTCTCAGCCGGTGATAGGTGCCACTTCCGCAGTGCGTACAACACCACATCATAGCGCTAGGAAGGACCCTACAAGCGAGGACGACGACGACCCCCCGGGCTTCCGCAGACAGCACGACCAGTGGGACGATTGGCCGCAGGACAAGATCGGCATGTCTCAGCTAGGTGGTGCCCCGCTTGGTACCCAAAGAGCCTCACTGGTACTAACAAAGATAGTTTCTTAAAATAGGTAGGGTCTGTAAACTAACGATCATAAAGATTATAAGTAATCGTACATATCATATACTTGCAGGGTACGAGCCGTACGCACCGGCGACGCGACCACACCGACGTTGGCTACACTCCCAATATGTCGCCAACAAATCCGAAGAGACAGAGGCGTCCGAGAGATCCTTACACCCTCGGGTCTTAGTTTGTTAGGTCGAACGAATATTGGTGTCCGAAACTTGCAGGCTTAGTTAGTTATGTTATGTCGAACTTATGTCAAACCAATGAAAATGTTATGTGACAGCTTGTCAACTTGCGCACGGACTTCATTTATTTGCTTCATATTCATTTCAATATGTCAAGGCAGCGGCGTCGGCGAGATTAAGTAGCAACTAGTTCGGAAACCGACACTCCCAGCATATCTCGACGCCGGTGGCCGGCGTCTTGACCCCGATCCTCCCGAGCTTGGTCATCGCCGCCACGAAATCATCGAAGAAGGCACCTAGGTTAGACGCGCAGTAGTCGACCGTGCTGCGCGAGGGGTCGAGGAAGCCGGAGTCCATGGTCGCGTCGCTGTCGATCCTATAATACGGGGTCAAAAAGCCAAAAAAATAAGTGATTCGTTTTTAGCCCTTATAAAAAAACGGATTCTTGAACCTCTTTCACGCTCATGTCACGTCGAGGTACTGCAGAAAAAGAACCGTAAAATCCGATCTAATTTTTCGTAATCGATTAGTTAACATGGTGGTTAACCGTATTATGAAAGACGGAAAAAAATCATTGGCTTATCAAATTCTCTATCGAGCCATGAAAAAAATTCAACAAAAGATAGAAATAAATCCACTATTAGTTTTACGTCAAGCAATACATAGAGTAACTCCCAATATAGGAGTAAAAACAAGACGTAATAAAAAAAGGATCGACGCGGAAAGTTCCGATTAAACCGTTCAGGTACGCCGCGCCATGCACCGTGGCGCGTCAGTGCCGCGCCAAGATCGGTGACGCGGCAGACCCTGCACGTCACCGGTCAGCAGCGCGGTCGTCGCCACGTCAGCCTTCTGCCGCGCCACCATGCATGACGCGGCACAGGCGTTTCGCCGCGCCATGGCAATAGGCGTGGCCAAAAGTGTTAGTTTTGAAAAAAAAAACAATGTTAGATTTAAAATTAGTTTACAAAAAGTGTTAAAAATAAAAAAGCGTAGCGTTGTTCAATGATTTTGCAGTAGTTTGATCTCTTATCTCTGTTTTATTTTTATGATAGGATTGTACATGAAAAAAAATGTATTAAGGGTATTGGTAACTCTGGTACAATCTATTTTTCATGTATAATATAGACAGCCAATTTACCAAGTGATTTCACATACTCCCTCCATCCAAAATTATAAGTCATTCCAAGAATTTTAGAGAATCAAAGGATCTCAAGTTTGACCAAATTTATATGATAAGATAATAATATTTATGATATCAATTAAGTATCATTAGATTCTTTATTAATTATATTTTCATAGTATACCTATTTGATGTTATAAATTTTTGTAATTTTCTCTATAATTTTGGTCAAATTTAATATGCTCTAACTCTCCAATTCTTGAATGACTTATAATTTGAAAGGGAGTACTGTTTTTGCTCCACTAGAGCAGTTGGCATAAGAGCAGGAGCAGAAGCCAAAATTATACCCAAACAGGCCAGGCTTCCCAGTTAACAAGATTCATAAAATTTAGTCACTCTTGCCTTTTTTTTCCTCTTCCCTCATTCTCTACATTTGTTTCTCTAAAAAAATGTAATATAGAGGCTCAGCAATCAGCACCGTCCATTGCCATTTTATCATCTTAAAATTTGTGCACCAAGGTTTAAATCTTGGTCGGTAAATTCGCGAACCTACACTGTTAACACCAAACAACGGATGGTGAAAAAAATGATGTAAAAAAAAAGAAAAACTGAAGCGTACGATTATTTCGTCTATCTTCTCAATTTCAGTCTTGGCTTACGAGCACTTCGCTTATGCCCATTACTTTCTTGGTGTTTCCCTACAAACAAAAGAGCAATAAAATTCCGAGCGGCAAATAATTTTTTTTTCCGAATCAATGTAGATATATCACAACTGTCGCAGAGCAGCTGCTGCCACATCTTCATGGGAGAAAGAAACTTCAGCCTTCAGGTGACAGATGCCAACATACCAATAACACCTTTATTTATTAGCAGAGGAAATTTTAATATAAAAAACGATATATAAAACAGCACAGCTCAGCTCATGAACATTTACATCGGCTTGACTTTACAAACTGCAGGAGTAATTTTATTCCTGATATTCACATATTTTCATGTATTTTTAGAGTTTTACTGCTGCTGTTGCTGCTTCACCAGGTTCCTCAGAACGTAGTGAAGGATCCCGCCATGATCAAAGCCAGCCAGCTCCACCTACAAAACACGTTTTTTCTGTTATTCGTTACACAATTCATACTACTTTAAAATCAATACAGTTTTCGTTCGCGAAAAAAAAAATCATACAGTTTGATTGGCGCTAACTGCTAAGCTTGTAGGTTAGTATTTGAAAAGGCATTGTTTCATCTCACAGGATGAACAAAAATCTAAGTGGTGTATGTGCTTGCAATCATGAAATGTAATGCCCAGAAACTTTATCGCAGTAATTCAGTTGTACTGACCACTGTGCTGTGAACATTTATGGAATTACCAGTTCCACATCCTTTTACCCGAGAACTTACCATGGTATCAATCCGGAGCTTGCAGGTGAATGACTTCCCAGTGTCAGTGACCACTTGGACATCTTGGCCCGGTTGTATCTCACTCACATTGGTAGGGAGCCTTATTGTGTAGCGCTCATGACCAGTGAGCCCCAGAGAATCAGCATCCTCACCAGGTTTGAAGCACAGTGGTAACACTCCCATTCCCACGAGGTTGCTGCGGTGGATCCTATCAAAACTCTCGGCGATCACTGCTTTGACCCCCTGATAACATAGTTCTGTCAAAGAAATGTTCCTAGTTTCCGGTAGCTAGCAAAGAAATGGCAGTTGTATGATTTGCATATACCAATAACATTGGTCCCTTGGCAGCCCAATCCCGAGAACTTCCACTGCCTTATTCCTCTCCAGCCAACACTATGGTGTGATGCCCATCAGCTTTGTATCTCTGAAAGTCAGATGCATTTTGAAAGTCAGGTTGGCTACAAAACAGGTCAAGCATATACTTTGGTGACGTGGTGTACTCACCTTTGACTACCATCTAAGGTTATTTGTTCAAATGTAAAGTCTAGTTAGTATGAAGTAAAAGGACACTACATAATTAATTCAATGAACTGAGCCTAGCTCAGTTGGCCCACGAGGCGAATTGAGTGCCTTTTTGTTTCTTAATATAATATAATGCTGAATAGTATCTTGGTGGAAACGTAGCTTGGTGAAGAAGAACTGACCATTGCAGCATCAAACACGAAAAGCTTCTCGCTTGTAGGGACGTGAATCGTCTTCAGTCCAACTTCTCCATTTAACAGCCTATTCACAATCTTGATATTGCAAAGGTTCCTCGTGCCATCACTTCATCGTTGCCCCGACGGCTTCCATAAGAATTGAAATCCTTTGGCTGCACACCGCGCTCAAGCAGGTACTTGCCAGCAGGGCTGTCCCTGGGGATGCTCCCAGCTTGTGAGATGTGGTCAGTCGTGATGCTGTCACCGAACTTCAGCAGGCAATAGGCATTCTCTACGCTGCGTGGACCTGGCAGAGTCGGTGTAATATCCTTGAAGAACGGAGGATCATGAATGTAGGTGGAACTGGGGTCCCATGGGAAGCGCTTTGCCTTGGGAACTGACAGCTGGTTCCACATTGGGTTGCCTTGTGTGATTGCTTCATAGGTGCTCCTGAACATGTCAGGCAGCACACTTGATTGCTTGATTGCTCAACCTGGTAAATCCGTAAATGTTACAATCCAACCTTAAGGTGTGATAAGTGCATTCTAAATACTGAGTAATTTAGAAGAATGCGGCAATTTTGAATTTACCTCTGCAATTTCTTCATTTGATGGCCATATGTCCTTGAAGTACACATCTTTTCCATCTTTTCCTTTCCCAATTGGTTCCGTCTCAAAATCAATATCAACCTGATGTAGATGTATACATATTGATGGGACAACATACGAGAATTTATCCATGGTGGCGACACCAGAAAAAAAGAATCAATGAGGGACAAACCCACTGCTTACAGTGCCAGCAAGGGCATAGGCCACAACAAGAGGAGGGGAGGCAAGATAATTGGCCCGAACCAATGCATGAATTCGCCCTTCGAAGTTCCTGTTACCAGAGAGTACTGCAGCAGCAATGATATCTGACAAAGGCATGCCAAGAATATGGGATTTCATTTTCTGAAGTGCAATTGAGCATGAGAAAAATCAAGCAAATGTGATTAGTTAATAAGTATGAAGTTACCGTTGTCAGTAACTGCCTTAGCAACATCTTCATCAAGCTCTCCGGAGTTACCAATGCATGTTCTGCAACCATATCCAATTAAGTTGAAACCTAGATGATCTAAATACTTTTGCAAGCCACTGATTTTTTCACATAAGTCAGGATTTGAAGATAAACAAATTTTCAGGTTTAACTACTAGGGAGGGACCGAAATACTACCTTTTCAGCAGATATTTGGTCACTGCCCCGGATCCTGGCGCAAGACTAGTTTTAATCCATGGATTAACCTGTCGATAGACCAAAGTTGCCAAAGACATGCTGTGCTGAGAAGTAATTTTGGCAATGGGGACTCACCTCAAGGCCAAGCTCACACGCCTTCTTTGCAACAAGGCCAGCACCAAGCATGACGCTTGGATTTGAGGTGTTTGTGCAACTTGTTATGGCAGCAATCACAATGCTACCGTGTCTAATCTCTGTAGGTTGTCCATGGAAGGTGAACTTGACTAATTTATCCTGTTGCTCTTTAGGTATGCCAAAGCCCTGTAGTAACCCAAACAAAAATTGCAGACAACAAATAAATTGCTGTTCTGTTGGTGGGCACAACAGAAATTGTGTAAAGGATAGGCAACTATCATGGATGCAGGCAACATTCAAGTTAGTTTAGTACTCTTACCTTGAAACCAATTTTATTAGCGAGACAGGTACGCCAGTCTACTTTCATATCTTTCAGAGCAACACGGTCATGAGGTCTATATTATACATAACAATGATAAGGTACAATCGTATTCAGAAAAAACTATGTGTAGCATGATAAGATCAAGATAAGCATAGGTACCAAAGGAAGTTACCTTTTCGGGCCTGAAACACATGGTTCAACATCTGCTAGATCTAACTCTAGGTAAGACGAGTAAACTTTTTCTGCTTGAGTCTGAAACTACAGTTCTGTATTAGACATATGTTTCCTTTGATATCTGAGATACTAGTACCAATGATGCTAACCTCGTTGTAATCAACAAACATGTTGTTAGCTCGAAGATATGCCTCCACCATCTCAACCTATTTGTAAGGACATCAAAACATAAGAAACTATTGGACAGAAAAGGAATGTCCAGACTACAATAGATTGGATCCGTCGAAATGTTTTTTGAGAACAAATAAGCACTTTAAGGTGAAAAATGGAAGCAAACCTTTTCATCACTTCTCCCTGTCAGCTTCAGGTATCCAAGTGTCACATGATAGCAATTGTTGCACCATATTCTGGTGACATGTTAGCAATTGTTGCCCTGTTAGCAACTGCTAACTCACTCATCCCCTCACCTACATGCAAAACCCACCCATTAGTGATAATATTAAAATTGAAGATGTATAAAGATTGACAGAAGTTGTACCATAAAACTCAACAAATTTGCCAACAACACCATGCTTCCTAAGAATATGTGTCACTGTCAGGACTAGGTCGGTTGCAGTAACACCATCACGCAATTTCCCTGACAGTTTAAATCCAACTACACTGGACAAGACCATGCTCATTGGCTGTCCGTTTAGACAAAAATCGCATCAGACATAATCAAAACAAAGGTTGATATGCAAATATGAGTATCTTAATGTGTACAAAGAATGAACATTCTGTTTTATTACCTGACCAAGCATTGTTGCTTCTGCTTCAATTCCCACAATGCCCTAGCCGGTAACCCCCATTCCATCAATCATGGTAGTGTGAGAATCTGTTCCCAGCACGCTGTCAAGATATAAAATGCCATCGGTATTGAAAACAACTCGTCCAAGATATTCAAGATTCACGTGAAAAAATAGAGTTAAAAAAGCATCAAATGAAACTCAAGAAGCATAATGCAAATTAAGGTGCACAAAAATTTGGGACTGCGAACTGTTCGGCCCTAGGAAAAAAAACAAACTGCACCTGGTGAACAATTCCTGAACCTGGTGGAACAATAAGCATATTATTGAATGCCATAGAGCCCCACCGAAGGAAGGCGAAGCGCTCCTTGTTCCTGTCGAATTCGCGTTGCATATTAGCTTGGAGGGCATTCTCTGATTTTACCACATCAGCTTGTACCGAATGATCAATGACTAGATCCACTGGAATCTGCAAGTGAATAGCAAAAATGTGAGAAGTTGAGAAATATTAGAAGATGGTCAGTCGCATGACTATTCTTGCATGATGAATTGATGATGATTCTAATGTGTCTTAGTGTACTGAGTGCTGCCTACCATGGGATCAATCTTGCCAGGATCATCCACCAGTCGGGCCATTGCATCGCGCATGCTTGCAAGATCAACGATGGCTGGGACACCAGTAAAATCCTTCAAAGAGAGGAAAATGAATAGTTATTTTACACCACATGAAGCGAAGGATGAAGTCAGGTCACTTCCACACCTGCAGAAGCACACGGGCGGGCTTGAATGGTATCTCCACTAGCTTGGGAGCTGTATTCTCCCAGTCAATGATATTTTCAACATCCTTCTCTGTAATCTGAAAACCGTCACAGTTGCGGATGGCTGGCTCCAGTAGATACCGGATAGAGTATGGCAATCTTTCTGAAAACGGAATGCATAAATGAATTACAAATTGTAAGGCTTGGTATGACGTATCTCCTTGGGGATCTTCATATTATTGTGTATAAACACCGCAGCATTTCTCGGCTAAGAAGAGCTTACCTATCCTAGGATCATTCAGGGCTGGTAAGCTGTAGTACTTCCTGTGCTCTCCACCTCCGGGCTTTGGGAGGCTTGTCAGGACATGCCCAAAGCGGCTATTACCATCAGCTGCAGTAAGGACACACACGGACATCAATATTAAAGAGTGGTAATGAAACCACAAGCAACAACCATTAGGAATTCAAAACCATAGAATTTATTGGGGACTGTTTGGAATGCAGGAACTTCACAAGAATCAGTTCAATTTCATAAAAAAAATACAGAAATATGAATTTTTTCCCACGTTCCAAACAAACCCTTAAAGGTGACATGATCAGCGACATTTGGCTGCTTGCAACTACTTGATTAGTCACCTAATACAACTTCAAATCGAGCTTTTTTTTCGAAAACATGGCAGGAGCTTTGCCTCTCAATTAAAATAGGAATAAGAGAAAATCTCCGAGCTATCCAAAATACAAACCAGACCGTATGACAACTCTTCTTCTTCTCACATTTATATAGAGAAAGAGAACAGTGAACACTGCGCATGATGAACAACACCGTGCACCTCTCAATTCGAAAAAAATGGTACTAGCACTTTGCCGCTTTCTTTACTTTTTACCTTTGAACACTACTTTTTTTTACAAGAAAAGAGGGTACTGAGGAGCATAACCCATGGTGGCGAGTCCGCGCCACGCAGACGCAGGCCGCTCGGTGATCGCGGCTCCTGAGCAGCACCGGCACGGCACGGCCGCCGCCGACCCGAAGAGGCGAGACGAGGTGAGCCGACGCTCGGAGTCGGAGGGCACGAGGAAGCGGGCGGCCCCAGCGAGCGGGGTAGCCGCGGAGCGGGAGGAGAGGTGGCGTTGGAGGACATGCTTCTTATGTAGCACAGTGCGGCATTGGATTCGTCGTTGCACCAGCAGCAACATGAACATCTGAACTCTCGGAGGGGCTGAGTTCTGCCAAATGAATGTTACTCTATCATCATTTGGCTGTCCACGAGATTTTAGGAGATGGTAGATGGCCCCGCTGTCGAGACCATGGCTGCCTTTACTGAATGGAGAGGAGCATTGATCCGGTGTCTCAAGTAGCTGGGTGTCCGCTAACACCCCTTCGACGTCTTCAAGCTCTCGCATTGCTCTTCTTGACAGTCGCAGCACAAGTGTCTGATGGATACCAGAGCCAACCATTTCACAGACACTGGCATCTTTGTTGGTACAGTGGCTGTATAGGGCCGGGAACATGTCAGCAAGGGCTTCATCACCATGCCAAACATCCATCCAGAAGGAACACGAGTTTCCATCACCAAGCTGTACCGACTTAATTGCTTGATAGAGTCGCAGCAGTGATCACAAGACTTCCCAATGCTCACCATGGATGTCCCCCTTTAAAGTGGCGACAGAGGCTCGGCCTTGTACCCAATGAGCCCAGGCAGATGACTGAGGGCAGTGGAGCCAGTGAACGAGCTTCAGCAGTAGGCATATGTTCTGCGTCCCCATGTCTTTGATGCCAAGTCCACCGAGATCTTTTGGCGCACAAACCAACATCCAGGCAACAAGGCAGCTAGCCGGCGATGACTTGCCTGTCTTCTCCCTAGACCACAGGAAAGTTCTTCTCTTCCTGTCCATTTGATGAATTACTGACGGTGGCAATTGTAGAGAGCTCATGAAGTAAACCAGCTGACTATCGAGGACGGAATTGACCAGAACCGCTCTGCCCATTGGGTTCAAAAGCTGAGCCTGCCAAGAGCTGAGGTATCTATCTGTCTTCTGAATGTAAGGTGTATATGCTGACAATGGAAGCTTGTGCACCGACAACGGCAACCCCAGATAAGTCTGGGGGAAACCTTCTCTTCTACACCCAATGATTTGGACACAGTTGCTGACAGCCTGCTCCTCCATATGAATTGGCACCAGAGTGCTCTTCACATTCCTGCAGCACAACATACACAAGGGTAAGGCACTGTATAATCCTATTAACAACACATATACAAGACTGCAAGGAACTGTACCGTGACCTTCTCTGAGGCACACATCTTCAAAACCTTGATCTGCCATCGCTTTCTGGAATTGACAGAAGGAAAACATGTCTCAATTATTAGGTGCTTATCATCAGCACAGAACTTGACAACACCGCCTTCGACAGAATAGTCCATGAGGTGGTAGATGCAATCCCTCACTAACTTCAGCAAGTCAAAAACTGAGTTAGATCTACCTGCTATGTTCTTGTTATAAACTTTCTGCACATATTTGTTCTTCGAAACCGATTTTGTCCATACTGATGCACCGACAGGTATGTTCCTAAGAAATGCATCATATTGAGTTTGACTTGCTGTATCCACCTGCGCTAACTTCTGAACCTGCAGTAGCTTCTCATATAGAGACAGGAAGTGGTCCAGTTTCGCCCTTGGGTTCAGCAAAGCTGTGTTATATCTCAACAGGTATTTGTACCTAAAAGGACGAGCCATTAGGTCAATCCAGACCAGCACATCTGCGGGTGGCTTCTGTCCTTTTCCACTGAAAAGATCTTTCCGAATGCTGGTCCCTATTGCACTGTAATCCTTCTTAGCCCCTTCATCATTGTATTTCTTCAGATTTGGTATCGATTCCTTGCAGAGCTTGACAGATTTGGAGGAGCTTATCCAGTACAACATGCTCACATTCAATTTTCCTTCTAGTGTCAACTTCATGCTGTGCATCAAGCGAATGAAAGTCTCGATTGCTCTAAGTACATTGCAACCGAAGGTCAGTAATTCAGGTTCTTTCTTTAATTTGTTGGAATCCTCCTCCTTTGCTATTGCTGCTGCTGGATCCTCTGCAGCTTTAACTTGAATGACCTGCCCAATGGGCCTTGCATACTGAATCAGCTTTTTTGTTCTGATTTTAGTCAGAAGTTTTGCATCCTTCTTTTCATGCTCGCATACAACAAGCATGTGCAGTTTTTTTGAGACAGCACCTTCTTTGCTCTCCTTTTAACCTGAAAAAAAACAAGCACCAAACCAAATATAAGATAACAGCAATGAAGCTATCAAAATGGAAATAGAACACTATAGAAAAACAAGTTGCGCAGCCTTTTATTATTTCTGATGGATGGTAGTGGCAAACTGAAAACTGAGAGTAAGGCTAGAACTGATGCAAACACCATTAATTTGAGCCGGGTTAATTTCATTGGTTCTGCCGCTCAGGACAAGCTAACACTCAAGGAATCCCCCCACCCCACTGTTCTTCACCATCTAGTTCCTAAATGTAGACCTTCTATTCCTATACATTACAGGACCCTCCGCCTACTCCTCTTCCACCCTGCAGTCAACACACATTATCACACACCGTTGATGCCGATTGCCGGCAACACCCCGTTGATACCGGCAGTGAGGACCGGGGGGCATGAGGTCAAGTTCTCACCGGTAGATTCCCATGGTCACCACCAGGAACGGCCGGGAGGTGGGATTGCCTCCTGTTAGAGAAGGTGGGCAATATAAGCAGATTTCAATTTTCTGGTTTCTCTGGCTGCTGCTGGCCTCTGTCTTTGTAGAAATGCTGATCCATTACTTGGGCCATGTGCTCTGTACTGGTGGAACAATGGCCCAATTCATGATCCGGCTGATATGGCAATGGGCCATGTGTTATGTTCCTGCCCCCGTGAGAAGTTTTCTCGAAAGCAGCAGAATTACCCATTGCCCATCTTGTCTGAAGTACTTTTGCAGACACACAGTCATGAATGGAAAAATATAAGCTGAATTTGTATGCCCGGATCCCATGGCCAGATTATCAACAACCAATATCATCAGGTGCCTTGTCTGCTGAATAAAGTGAGCTCAATCCTTGTTTTTTGAATGCAGAGTTAATTGAAACACTATCAGCAATGCAGCATCCTCAAACAAGTGATTTGAGTGAGATCTATATCTATGTGCTTCGTTGAACTCAGTCCTTCCCATCTGTGCACTGACAATCTAAACCCTACCGTTTCCATTTGCTCATCCTGCTGACAAGTCTATGGACTAAAACAACTTCTGCATGACACGTCTCTCTCGCACACGCTTCCCCTTCGGCCATTCCATCAGTAGAAAGCTCTCTCAACCCGTCTCTCTCGCGCGCCCTCCCCCTTCCGATTACCTCTCGCGCGCGCGCCTTACCCTTTCCGATCACCAGATTGAATTTCTCTCCCTCTCTCTCGCCCCCTTCTCCTTCCCCTTCCGATTTAACCAAACCTCGACACGATTCAGAGGAGGGGATTTGGTTGGAGTTCTTGCCGGCGGCGATTTTGATGCTGAGGACGAGTAAGCCGACGACGACGATGTCGACGACGGTTCTTCGGCCAGCCTCCGCCTCCGCGACTTGGTTGGAGTTCTTATCGGCGGCGACTTCGATGGTGAAGACGAGTAAGCAGACGATGACGACGACGGAGAGTAGCGCCGAGTAGGCATGTTGGATGACGGTCCGGCAGAGCCCGCCTCAGCCTCCGCCTCCGCCTCCGCCTCGCTCGTCGCCTGGCGTGATCGCGGGCGGTGAGGAGTGCGGGTGGAACGGTGCTCTGAGGGCCTGTTCGTACCCTTGTTCGTTTGGGCTGGGGTTGGCCGAGACGGCGGCCTAACCCCTGTCGGTCACCCCGGCCTGGACAGAAACCCGGCTTGACGTTCAGTTAAGCCTGGTCAGGGTTAACCCGGCCCATCCCAAGAAATTCTTCTCAACTCGGGCCCGGCAACTGACCCTGTGTGCGAGGCCACAAGGGACGACCGTATATCTATTATCTTTATTATGTTTCTAAAAAAAAATTCTATTATCTTTATTATATATTTATCTAATATGTAATACTCTATTAACTACTGACTCCGTCTCAGAAACCTTACTTCTTCTATTCTATAATACAGCGCATTTGAAATTTTAGAACATATTTAAAGAGAACATGAAAGATGCATGTGTCCTCGTTTTATTTTTCTAACTAGAAGTTACCAACAACATAATTAACGGTAATTGGTTGATAAATAAAAAGTATTTAATGCAAAACTAATTTATGTCCCTAGCTAAAATCCCTTATATTTGAGTATAATTTTTGAATGCTTGAATTAGCTATATTACAAGACGAATGCAGTATATTATAGGATTTTTAAGACCGATTAGTGCTCAACGAAAACTATCCATATACCCCTATAGTTATCAGTTTATGGCCTGTGCTTCTCTGACTAGAGCAACTAATTTAAGTATATAATATGGCCTCTCTCTTTTCAGCACACAGATATCCCACGTGGCCACAACCTTGCCGTGAGTAGCTGGCGTTGCTACTTTCTTTATTCAGGCGTTGCTACTTTCTTTGCAGAACGAATCATTTAAATTGCTATATTTTTTAATGGTATATCTATTTTTAATTTTGTTTGTACCGGTGTGTTCTACACAGCGAGACGAACAAAATTAGACTTCACTTGCATATGTTTCAAAGAATTTTATTCTAGTATCAATTTATGTGTAAATATATGTTAAAAATTATTAAAGCAGTCACTACCATGTAATACTAAAGTTGCTACTGCAAAAATATACTAAGGCCCTGTTCGTCTGTCTTATAATCCGTACTTTTCAGCTTGTTTTTTTTTCCAGCTGGAACAATGTTTTTCTCTCATAAAAAATCAACTGGGACAATGTTTTGGCTTGTTTTTTTAGCGAAGCGAACGGGGCATAAAGTTGTTACATAGTATGCACATCGTTTGTTATCATGAGAATATATTAAATTGTTACATGGTATTTACATAACCTTTATAAGGTACTAGCCCTATATTACAGTATTCTGAGAGCAAATTACATCGATCGAATTGCTAGTGAGAGTTTGTTGCAACTTATATATTGTAAAACAAGTAATGTAAGCAGACTCGCTGCCAACGGGGGAATCTCTTCTATAACTAAAATATTCATAACTATTCCGTCCACATGTGCGACATAAAAGTCGAGGGAATCGTTCACCGTCGTGTGAAAAATCGCTCACTCTGTCGCTCCCTCGCGCTCTCGCGCGAGCGGTGGCCCCGGCCTTCGCGTCGCTCCCCTGATATCGCGCCCATCCGGCCCGTAAAAGTGGAAACAAAATCAATAACCAATTACTTACTGCTCAGTCATAGGAATCCCGTCCTCAATCAATGCGTGCATGGCTGCATGCGATCCGCGTCCGCCTCCTCCTATTCGAGCAAATCGCCAACACCTTCCCAGTCAACTTCCCAGCCAGAGCCATTGTCTCCAATCCAGCAGCCCTTGTGTTCGTCTACGCTGTCGACCAATGCGCGATCGGCACATCCATCGTCGCTGCACTGAGATGATCGTCATGCGCCCACGACCTGCACGATCGAGCTGTGTGGACGATCCTCCTCACCACGATAGTGAAGAGGTAGCAACAACAGATCGTGAAATATAGGATTTCCCTCTCTCCCTACTGTTCATGATCTGGCAATGGCCTACTGGCTTGAGCCATAAGTAATAGGACTGAGTCTGTTCAAAGTCAAGAGTTACTATAGTTAGGCAAAGAATGGTTCACAGAGTTACTCCTTTTGTATGTGACAGTTTACTTCCAGTGTGGGGTTCCTTGCAAAACTGAGTAGGATATTTGTATGAAGCTTTGTGACAGGTCATGTCAGCCTGAACATAAAATATTTTCTACAGCCTAAACATATAAAATATTTGTATGATTTTTCATATTCTTAAATAGCCTAAAATATTTGTATCATTTTGTCGTCAGTTGCTGAATCTGTAAAATAAAATAGCGAGCAGCTGCATTAGGATGGTTTCACACTATTATTTTACATAACCATATTTAAGCAAGCGTGTACAGAGGCTAAAACACATAGTTCTCAAGGTGTCCCTTGCACTGGAGCTCACCAACTTGAATAACACAGTCCAACACAAGTGATCTGAATTTAGTTTATTGAAACACATAGTTCTCAAGGTCTACATTTTGCCATTGAAATCCGAGGTGGTAGTCAGTTTATTGAAACTGAATTCAGTGACCTTCCTGAAAATTTAGCTTAATGTTCTTTTTCCTGTTCCTGTTCAGTTTCTTGTTCATGTTCCTGTTCCTGAAAAATCAATGAGCCTACAAAAGCATACAGATGTTCCTCAAAAATCAATGAGCCTACATAAACTCTCCCGGTTTACCAAGTTACGCTAATTTGGTCATCATTTATTTATTCCGTGTCAATAGATTGCTGACTAAAGCCAATAATGTTTAGGCAATGTGCGCAATAGCTGCATTGCATTGTTTCATATCATCTTCTTATCTGCACATAGCAGAAATTATGATTCTTTATCTATGTGCATTGTTTTCCAACATTTTCTTCTGTCACTGATAGTTTACTGATTGAAAAAATTGGCACTTCAGTGTAGAAAGAACAAGATATTGTTTGGGCAAAATAAAAGTTTCGCATGCTCATCTGGAACTGTTAAAGCATGCAGATGTTTTGAGTGATGCATTCTATATTTCACAACATGGAGTGTTTGGAACAATAAATAACCTCCGTCTCGGACACTCTCATGAGGTAGGCTGCTGTTGTTTCCTATACATTAAAATGTAATTTTGTTTCATCCCCCTTAAAGTCTTACCTCATTAAAGGTTTAATGGGAGGGCAACGCGTGGCATGAAGTTGTTGCATCAAGTTTGGTTTTGCAGCTGATTTTGTCAAATAGTTTGAGCTGCAGTTTTTCCTCTGTTCATTGTACAGCACATCGAGTGAAGATGTGATTCTGGTTTCATGTCAATTGGAATTGGGTTTGGTTTTGGTTTTGCACATGATTTTGTAAAATAGGTCGAGCTGCAGTTTTCTCTGTTTAGTGTACGGAAGCAGCTCGTGCTCTCTTTTTTGTTTTTCAGATCAGATTGTCAGTCCAGCATCAGATTGTCAGGGCAAAGGGATCAATGAGGTCTGCTGGTCTACTCATAATTGTCATTGCCACATATTTCTTGGTAAATTTCTCATCTTGTTTGGTTTGGAGCTTTGGAAAGCAAATGGATCTTAGCAGTGATTAATAAATTAAATAAACATGTCCTAAAGTGAAGTATTTGTTCTATTAGAAAAAAACCACCATTACTATGTACCCAGCGGGATGAGCATGAGTACTATTGCAACAGATTTTTGTCAGGCTAGAGCACATATAAATATTGGATAAGCTGCTCAACAATATTGAATGTGGATAGCCAAAAGACAAAGTTCTTTTTTTTTTTTTTCAATAACCAAGATGAGCCAGTACAAAATGTTATGTTCTCTATCGTCACTCATTCAGCAGCGAGCTTCATCTTGTTCAGAACATTATATTGTTTCTACTTCCTTTGTTTCATTTTGCTTATAAGATAATCCATTTTCTTTCTTCATGTAGTCACATTATTATAATACATGATGATATGATAGCTCCTTCGATTAATTGGTTTAAAGCCTTTTGAAACAATTTTTTTCTGATAGTTTACTACTTTTCCTTTTTTATCATTTTTGACTGGCCCTTCTCCCTTTAAAAGACAATGCAGGATGAAAACAGGACAAATTAAAAGGTGCCAATGCAAAAAACTGAGCGAGGAACAAAAAGCACAAGGCGATTGTTTACAGGTTTGCAACCTGCTTGATGCCTCATTTGTAGTAAGGAATGTTTCTTTTCAATGCATAGTGTAGATACTAAGTTCAGAAAATTCAGTCTCATGTGATGCTTGAACTTAGTCACCATATTGTCCACATAGGGCGAATGAAATTGTTGTTTTCCAATGTAATGACCATCTGCTAACTCAGACAGAAAGAGTCAAAAATCTTGAAACTATTCCCACTAGAAAATGATTTGGAAGTGCCATCATATATGTTGAGTTGAGAAAACATCATATATGTACATGGCAGCTTTTGAAGATTTTTTTGTTACAATAAAATCTCAATCCAACGAACTTACATGTATGAGTATTCTTTTTATAGCATGTTCTTACTAGAAACAATTTTTTTGATATGTTGCATTTTGACATTTAATGACAGTGAAGCTTCCCTGATTTTATCAGGAACAACAATCTTGATGCTTTGGCAATAATGAATGTCCAAATTCAACGGAGGATGATCACTATACCTGCGTAACTTTTGTAGTCACTCCTATTTTGTTAAGTTTTAGTTCATAGCTGCGATGAGGAAGATTATTATGGTTACTGGTTCTCGTTCTTCATACCTATGTATAGATGTAGTTATATGCACAGATTTTTTCAATATGAACCTGTTGCCTGATGTTGATACTGATTTATGAATGCATCTTTTCTATATAGTTGGATGGAGTATTTGTTGAAATTGGGATGATTTAATGATTTAACTGGTCTTGGTTTCTATGATTCAGTGATTTTTTGACCAAATCCCTTGGAACAAACCTTTGCTTGAGATTTTAAGACTTGTTTTGTTGTTTTGACGAACCAGCTTTCCAGGACACCGAATCTTAACGCTTTAGTGGACAGAGTGTTGGCATGTTGGCCTCCCTTATTTGTTCCTGTTGCAACGCACGGGCATGATCCTAGTTTATTAAAAAAACAAAACTATCGGCCCAAAACACAAGACAATCAACAACCTTAGAGGGCAAAATATTAAAACAAGCATCACATAAGCTGCCAACCGTAGGGCAAGTTATTATACAATCCATTGACTAGGGGCGTTTATTAAAGCAAGTTATTATAAAATATAATACAAAGTCAGGAAACATGATTTGCTGTCAACCGAGTGTATTTATTAAAAATAAAGGTAGCGGCACAAAACAAGACGACCTGCAGCATGGGAAAATATTAGAAGTAGCATTGCATAAGCTATCAACTGTGGGGAGAGAGATTATACAACCCATTGCAGGAGCCCGGAAACATAACTAGTTGCCAAGTGAGGGCATTTAATAAAAAATAGAGTAGCGGTCCAAAACAAGCTACAACCTAGGGCAAATGATTAAAATAAGTATTGCATAAACTGTCAACTAGGGAGCAAGTTATTATACAACACATTACAAAAGCGAAGAAACATGATTTGGTGCCAACTGGGAGCATTTATTAAAAACGAGGGCAACGGCACAAAACAAGACAAGATGAAACCTGGGGGTAAATTATTAGAACAAGCATTGCATAAGTTGCCAACTGGAGAGGGAAAGTTATTATATAACCCATTGCAGGAGCCAGAAAACATGACTACCTGTCAACTCGAGGGCATTTATTAAAAAAATGAGAGTAACGGTACAAAACAAGACAAGCTGCAACTTGGAGGACAAATTATTAAAACAAGCATTGCATAAGTTGCGAACTCGGAGGCAAGTTATTAGGCAACCCATTGCAAAAGCTGAAAAACCTAACTAGCTGTCAACTTGGGGCATTTATAAAAAAAACAAGAGTGGCGACCAAAACAAGACGCATGAAACTCATAACTCATTGAACACCACAAACTACATGACCTTATGTGTGGCAAGTTTAATTTCAAAATATGTAGCAAGTTATATTTTGAGTAAGTGGCAAGATATCGTGAAATGAAAATTCTGGGAATTATAACCTGCAAACACATGAAACTCATTACCCATTAAACTGAAATGGTGACTGAAAAAATAAAACTCATAAGTCATTAATATGAAACTAAAAGAAACAATGAAACAAAAATAACTGAGACTAAAAGGAACATAGAAACAAAACAAATGAAACTCTGATGGCATTCGAACCTAATAGAGAAACTGAAACACAAAAACTAAAAAAATGGAACTCATAACTCATTAAACTGAAAGGGTGAATGAAAAAAAAAATAAAACTCATAACTCATTAAACTGAAACTAAAAGAACAAATAATATAACTAAAAAATTTTAAAAGCAGAAAATATTGAAGAACAAATATAAAGGATTTAGGAAGACATCCAAACCTAAAAGGGAAAAATGAAACTCAAAACGCAAATAACTGAAAGGGTGACCGATAAAATTAAACTCATCAATCATTAAAATGAAACTAAAAGAAAACAATGAAACAAAAAATAATTGAGACAAAAAAAGAAGACAGAAACTGAAAAAAAATGAAACTCAAAACTCATTAAACTGAAAGAACTAATAACTGAAAATTTTAAAAACAGAAAATATTGAAGAGCAACTAATATGAAGGATTTAGGAAGACATTCGAACATAAAGGGGATAAATGAAACTCAGAACTCAAATAACTAAAAGGATGACTGAAAAAAATCATTATAATGAAACTAAAACAAAACAATGAAATAAAAATAACTGAGACAAAAAGGATGCCTTCAAATGCAAAGGCTGTGGAGGCCCTCAGCCCTCCATGTCTGAATCATAGTCAATAAAATGACCGGCATCGGCATGACCACGTGATCTCTTTCAGTCGCAATAAAACTATATAATACTGCGTCCATCTCTCATAAAAGTAATCTCTATCTATTTCACAATTCTCTTTGTGGCGGCAGGTTTTATTGAGATTTTGCGGCAGGGTTCAGTTGCCAATTGCTAAACCTTAGTGTCTATAGATTAGATAGATAAAAGTAAACACGGAATTCCAGTGATTCCCTACAATGCAAATTGATCTCGAATGAAGCACAGAGAAAATGGATGGAAGGCAGAAAATGAAGCAACAGGTTAAATATAGATGATCAACTCGCAGGAAACAAAAAATACACTTATGCAAACAACAACTAGGTAGAAACTGTGAATGTGAAGTTGTGAACCAACAGTGATATGATCGGCACTGCACGGATGAGCTTGAAACAAACATGGTCGCAATCCATGTTTAAAAAAGTACTCTTCCTGTTGCATCACGAGACCACATGTATATATATATATATATACACACACACACACACACACACACACTCTTGTCCACATAGTTAATTGCTATAAAATACATACGTACTAACAGGAGTGAATACTAACAAACATCAGAACCTTCACATGGACGAAGGTATAACAAAAAGGAACTAGAACATTATCTATAATTAGTTGCTGCAAATATGGCACATTGATGCAGAAGGTAGCTAGTCTAGTAGGTTTTCAGGCAGTCGGTATTTTCCCTTCTTCTCAATCACATTGGGATCATGGAAAATGATCTGTGGGAAGATCAAGAAAGTAGAAATTTTATCTTGTTGCCTGGACCTAAAAATGAAAAACAAAAACTACATTGTAAATGACTGCTGCAAAAAACGAATACAGAATTAAAAACAAGGCATATATGAAAACATTGATCAATATTTGGTCACCTTACTTTGCACGTTTTTCTTTTATCAAAACAGTCTTCCAATCAATTTCATTTGATGGACTAGTCAACCATTGAAAAAGAATCTGCGTCCTTAGATTGAATTCATTGGAACCAATAAACTCAGGAATCCATGTGATGTTGAGCCTGGGGGACACATAACCTATTCCGAGTTTCGAAATAGACCTTGTCACCCTCCTCAGTGAAGGAGTGACGTCAACTACGCTTTCTTCCCATACTGAAACAAGGAAAACAACTTAAACTCTCAAAAATAAAAATTAACAAAAAAGAAACTAAAAGATAAACTGCACACACCATTGGTACAGGTTGGTCATCAAAATTTTGAGTTAATGCACCATGAAAAAAGGAGCTACCAGAACTCAAAATTTTGAAGATTATAGTAGTTGACGATCCAAGTAAGGATAATCCATGTGTGTTTTTTTTGCGTTAAAACACATGTAGGTTGTATAACATTTCTGAAGCCGAAAGTGTGAAAGGGAGATAGTCATGTCGAAGAAGCATTTCTGAAGCCGAAAGTGTGAAGGGAGATAGTCATGTCGCCCTTCACGCTTTCGGCTTCAGAAATGCTATACAACACTTAATCCTGCTCCCATCGCGCGGCCAAGCGTTTCAAGCAGCAGAAGAAGCATCTCTATCTCATTCTGGATGATTGGGAGAGGGGATACAGCGTCTACAAGGTCGATGTCGACGCCTTCGACCCCTCCGACGCCGGGCCGGAGTCCCTCCCCGAGCACCCGGTTGTCCGCTTCGTGGCCCGTCACGGCTGCTCCTGGTATTTCACCTCCCACGGCACCAAGATCCTTGCCATGCAGCCATCTCCTTACCCTGCCTTCCCAGTGTTCGATGTCCAGACGAAGGCGCTAGCCGTCTGCCCCTGGCCACGCCGCGGCGGCAACAAGCTCTTCGCTAAACCACTATTCGCGTGCGTCGCTGGCAGCCTCAACCTTATAAGAGCGGGCCAGTTCGACATGCTCAGCGCCGCGGCGCCACCGCCCGACAGCACGTACCCAGATGACGCGGCGTGGTCGTGGAGCCGAACCGGCTCGCCCCCGCCCTTCGAGCACTGTTACTGCACATGGGCCTCCGCGCTGCACCCCGATGGGCGCACGCTCTTCGTCTCCCATAAACGGAGCACATTCTCCTTCGACACGGAGAGCCGGGAATGGGCGTCGCATGGCAACTGGTCCCTGCCTTTCAAGGGCGAGGCTTACTTCGATGCCGAGCTGGACGCCTGGGTGGGCCTCTGCTGCCATGAGGGCGGCTTAGGCTACCTCTCCTGCTGCGACGTCGTGCCGGCTCCTGCCGACCTCAGGAGCCTGCCCGCCTGGAAGCTCGGCAAGGACCAGCTGTTCGACGCAGGATCGAGGAGGCACCTTGGGGCCACGCTCGTGTGTATGGGCAGCAGCAGGTACTGCCTGGTTGAGTCGCTGGCGCGTGACGACGAGGAGGATCTGCGACGCCTCCACGACGATGGCTACTACCCGCATCGCCGTGTGCTCGTGGTCACCACGTTTGGTCTCAAGTACGATGGACAAGGAGACCTTGTGACTACACAGCGCAAGGTGCGGTCCTACGAGATGACCGATGCTCATCAGCTTCCTGATCCGCATTGGAAGCCTGTTGCTTTCTGGATGTAATTAAGTTACATTATGCACAAATAATGTGGTCATATTAGTGGGAGAATGATCTGGAGCCACTTCAACAAGTTTCCTATACCATGTATGATTATGCTAGTTTGGGTATTCTATAATGTTATAGAATTATATGTATATGTTTATTTCTTATGTTTAAGAATGCTTTGGTTTCATCTTCCAAGATAGGGGACAAATTATTCATGATTTCTGATTGTCATGTGCATTATTAAACTTATCATGCTGTGATGTTGACTTTTAAACACTTGCCTTTCGTGCTGAAGAGGACTATCAGATATGCATGTCTGATTGGTAGTAGGGAATTAAACATTAAAATCATAATTCATGTTTCTCCTTAGTTTTCAGTGGAAGGTTTATATAGATGTATATATTTGAAGGCACAGGAGTACATGTCTAATATCTCTTGCGAGCTAACAAATGGGCAAGCTAAAAAATAGGCACCAAATGAAAATGGTACCCAAACTCCAAACTTTTCTAGCCAATAGGAGTTTGGAGATATGTCTTACTGTCATGGAGATCATTTTTAAGGTATTATTATTGACTGGTAACTGAAGCAGGGGTTACAAAGGTCAATCTATCTATCTTAATATTGTACATGGAATGAAGAAAGCACAATCTATTTTTACTTCTTGTGGCTTACCTCTACCAGAACTTGCGAAACAACTCATCAAATTTGAAGGGCCAGAGGTCCTAAGTTATCATTTCCACAAATCATTTCCTAGTCCACAGTTCAGCCTTCAATGCGCAGTTTTACGACTCAGTTCAAACAGCTCGACAGCCTGTACAGCTTTAGACCACTCCACGGAATCTTTGTTCACATTCCATGTTCACCGTCTTCCAAAACTCCAGGAAAACACGTCTCAATCATCAAGTACTTATCATCAACACTGAACATGACAACATTGTCTTCCACAGAATAGTCCATCAGGTGATGGATGCAATCCCTCACAAACCTCAGCAACTCGAAGACTGTGTCGTATCTTCCTTCCCTATTCTTATTATACACTTTCTGCACATATATGTTATCCGAAATTGATGTCAACCATACATATTGAGGATTTGATTTACCAACATCTATGGGCGGGATGGCGGGATGAGGTCAAGTTCTCACCGGTAGATCCCCACGATAGACTTAGTGGATCACCTAGACATAGATCTAGCACGGCCTTACGTACGGGATGAAAACTTCCTAGAACATGATCTAGAGCGAGAGAGAGGAAGGAAGATGAGATGTCACCGACCATCCGCGGCCTGGAGGAAAAGCTCGACGTAGCAATGGCGAAGGTGATGCGGTCCAGGTCGGTCACAGTGTAGTGGTTGCGCAGAGACGACGGTGAAGACGTCAGTGGAGCTTCCCATCGCTTCAGCACCTCCCTGTTAGATCATATTAGAGTTAGGACTGTAGGTGGGAGAAAGGCGGCTCAGGTGAACCTCGTGACGCGAGCCCCGGCCTTCCACCTCCTTTATATTGTGCTGCGCGATGGGGCCCACCAACCATGGAACGGTTGGGCGCCCCCGATCAGGGTGCAGATCAAGGCCCCAACTCGGTCGTTGGACCGAGCCAGAGGAAATCCACCTAACATTCTCCCCCTTGATCTCACCTTATGACTTAAACTTAAAATTATTTTCTCTTTTTCCCATTCCATCACAGATTAGTGAATAGAGTGTGCCTCGTCACAACAGTTAGTATTATTGGATTAACAGCTACAACATACCTCTATATTTTGAAACAGATTCTCAACTATGCTCTTATTGTCTAAGAATCATAGGTTTTTCCTTAAACCCATGCCGGCTAAGTGTTCTCTGAACACGTTGGGTAGTAAGCCTTTTGTAAGCGGATCCACGAGCATCTTTTCTATACTTATGTGCTCAAGACTAATTATATGATCCCGGACTTTATCTTTCACAACATAATACTTTATGTCAATATGTTTGGCAGCACCACTTGACTTATTGTTGTGAGCATAACATACTGCTGGATTATTATCGTAGTATAACTTGAGTGGCTTATGTATGTCGTCTACCACTTTCAACCTGGGCATAAATTTCTTCAGCCAATTTATCTGCTTCGTGGCCTCATAACACGCTACAAACTCGGCATACATCGTAGACGATGTAGTAACGGTCTGCTTGGAACTTTTCCACGATATAGCTCCTCATACGAGAGTAAATATATATCTTGACCTGGACTTTCTAAAATCTCTCGCATAATCTGAATCTATATACCCCTCTATGTATAGGTAATCAGATCTTCTGTATGTTAGCATGAGGCTCTTTGTGCCTTATAAGTAACGCAAAACTTTCTTTACCAGTCTCCAGTGTTCTATTCCTGGATTACTCTAATATCTGCCAAGTAACCCGGTAACAAACGCTAAGTCAAGGCGTATACACACTTGAGCATACTGTAAACTTTCGACAGCTGAAGCATATGGAACCGCTTTGATCGATCTCATATTGGTTTCTGGGACATTGGAATTTTCCAAATCTATTGCCCTTGACTATGGGAGCAGGTGAAGGCTTACAATTTTGCATACTTTATTTCTTTAGAACCTTTTCTAAGTATGCCTTTTGTGATAATCCTAAAACCACATTTCTTCTATCTTGATGAATCTCTATTCCTAGAACAAACGAAGCTTCACCGAGATCCTTCATATCAAAATTCGAGGACAAGAACTTCTTCATTTCTAGTAGTAGATTAACATCACTACTAGTGAGTAAGATGTCACCCACATACAAGATTAGGAAAATGTATTTCCCATTCTTGAAATTTGCATAAACGCAATTGTCCTCTATATTTTCTTAAAACCCAAACTTCCTTATTGTACTATCAAACTTTAAATACCACTGTCTTGATGCTTGTTTTAATCCATAAATGGATTTCTTCAGGCAACATCCTATACGTTCTTTTTCTTCCACAACAAAATCTTTTGGTTGTGCCATGTAAACATTTTCCTCCAAATCCTCATTTAGGAACGCCGTCTTTACATCCGTCTGATGTAATTCTAAATCGTAATATGCTACAAGCGCCATTATAATTCTAAAAGAATCCTTACATTAGACTGAAAAAATATCTTATTGTAATCTATGCCTTCTCTTTGCATGAAGCCTTTCGCCACAAGTCACGCTTTAAATCTTTCTACAATCCCTTTAGAGTCATATTTAGTTTTGTAGACCCATTTATAGCCTACTGTCTTGGCTCCTTTAGAAATTATTTCTAAGTCCCAAACACCGTTGGTATTCATTGATCTCATTTCATCTTGCATGGCTTCAAGCCACTTTGATAAGTGAGCGCTTCTCATGGCTTCTTCAAATGAGGTGGGATCACCCTCCATTTGAAATTCTTCACATTCATAGACTTCATAGTCATCAGGAATGGCTGGTTTCCTGACTCTTTGAGACCTTCTATAGGCCTCGTTAGTTGACGCTTGTTCTATATGAGGCTGTTGTTGCTCTTCCTCATGTGTGACAACGGGTTCTACAGGATCCTGAAGGACAGGTTCCTCATGTTCATTCATTATCGCTACAGGAGAACTAACAACAGGTGTTGTTACTACAATGTCTTACATTGTTGGTGTAGCAACAACAGGTAGCGTGAAGAATGGCTCCTGAACCATCGGAGTAGGCACATGTACCCGCTTCTCCTCTAGGTTAATTTCTCACGCTACCATGCTCCCCTTGATCAACTCTTCCTCCAAAAACACAACATGTCTTGTTTCTACAAACTTCGTATATCTATCAGGACGATAGAAGCGATAACCTTTTGACTTTTCTAGATAACCAATGAAATGGCAACTGACTATCTTGGAGTCTTGCTTCCCTATATTTGGGTTAAAGACTTTAGGCTCAGCTGGACAACCCCACACATGTAAATAGTTAAGTGAGGGTTCCTTTCCTGTCCACAACTTATATGGTGTTTTGGGCACCGACTTGCTTGACACTCGATTAAGAATATGAATGGTGGTTTTTAACGCCTCCATCTATAAACTTATCGGTAGAGTAGAGTAACTTATCATACTTCTCACCATATCCATTAAGGTACGGTTGCGTCTTTTCAGCTACTCCATTCTGCTGAGGCTCGTTCAGTGTAGAGTACTGGGCAACTATGCCATTTTCCTGTAAGAATCTTGCAAAAGGTCTAGGAACTTGGCCATATGGGGTGTGTCGACCGTAGTACTCCCCCCACGGTCGGATCTTACTATCTTAATCTTTAAATTGGGCTAATTTTCTACTTCAGGCTTAAATATCTTAACTTTATCCAATGCTTCTGATCTTTCCTTAATTGGATAAATATAGCCACAACGAGAATAATCATCTGTGAATGTTATAAATGAATCATAACCATCCACACTCTTCACAGGAAAAAGACCACAGATGTCTGTGTGAATTATTTCTAAAATTCCTGCGCTTCGTTTGGCATCTTTCTTTATTTTCTTAACATACTTTCCTTTTATGCAATCAATGCATTGTTCTAAATCTGAAAATTCTAATGGCGGAAGAATTGATTTCTTAATCAATCGCTCTATTCTCCCCCTCAAAATATGGCCTAAACGATAGTGCCATAATTTCGATGATACATCATGAACTCTCTTTCGCTTATTTCTTGCATTCATGGACGAGGAGACATTCTCATTCTCAGTGCTCACAACATTCACATTCTCAGAAAGTGATAAGAAATAAAGCATGTCTTGTCGAAGGCAAGACCAACACACTTATTAAACATAATCTGACATTTGCCATTACCAAAATGGCAATCATATCCATCATCATCAAGACGTGAAATACTTATCAAATTTCTACGCAAAGAGGGTACATAAAGGACATCTGAAAGCTAAAGTACAAAACCATCATCTAATTCTAGAGAGAGATCTCTAATGGCTTCAACTTCAGCTTCAACTCTATTTGCCACTTTAATTCTTCTTTCTCCTCTTTGCAGGGTCCTCCTCATATGGAATCCCTGTAATTAATTTGCAATATGAATAGTTGCA